TGTGTGTGTGTATGTTATACAGGTGCATGTATATACTTAGTATAGGAATAAACAGTGAAGTCAGGAATATTGTAAAAGTACACACACACACACACTCTACACCCGCCAAATACAACAAGCTTCTTAGGCCCTTAGTTAAGTGAGCTGGTAGAAATAGATCCAATGTTTTGTAAATAAGATCTCTTCTCTTTTAGCGTATACTAGGTTTGGTCATGACTCAGTTAAATCCTGCCACTAGAATTGTGTTTTCATTTTTTCTGCCCAAGTGCAGAATGGACAGAAAGTGGGCAAACTGGAAAAGATGCAAAGAATCTAGCAAATGGTTTCTAGAATAGTCACATATTTAAGTTTTATAATAGCTTTGCTTTGTAATTCAAAAAAATTAAAGAGGGCAGAATGCTTATCGATATTCTACATACGACAGCAAGGCTTAAAATAGAGCCTATCTGTTTTACTTATCACTGCTGGCTTGGACACTGGTTGGCATCAACAAAAGAAAATCTTGAAAGATCAGTGTAAATGGGACAAGTAGTATTGAGTGACTTCTGTAGTCCACCCAGAAGAACTTAAACCACATAGTCTTTGCCTTAAAAGTTTTTACAGTCTGTCTGGATGATGTAAGATGTTTCTGTTGTTTTTTGTTTTGTTTTTAAACTATGGACTCTTTTCTTCAAACTGTTAATTGGAAGACCAGTAAAAAGTGGAGATTCCCCTCTCCATCCACCTCCCCAGTGCATTGATTAAGAGCAGAGCAGTGACTTCACCACTGATCACATTGATAAGTAATACAGACAGACGTGAACGAAACGATGTAAGACTGAATTTAGAAACTGGAGCCTCACCTTTGAAAAAGTCTCACCTCAGCCTCCTTATTTTACAAACTGGAGCACAGAGAGGTGTGCTTGAGGTCACAGACTAGACAGTACCTTGTCATCTGACCTCCAGCAGGAGTGCTCTCCATTTCATGTTTGCTCTTAAACAAGATTTGAGTGTTACTACACAGTATCTTTTTCCTTTTAAGTTTTTTAATAACCTCAAGGGACTGGAGTTTGCTAGTGGGGAGATGACGAGATGAGGCAGGAGAAAAGAAGGTAATTTGGGTGCGAGTGAAGCCCGTCATCAGTGACAGAACTGCATCACTTAACTTCTCACATCCGATCTTCTCCTTTGTCAAAGTGACAACACTATTTTGCAATGAGACTGGTTCCTCTTTCAGACTCTTGGCTTCAAGATTTGATCTCTGGGGTCTAGTGCTATCTCTAGCAGTGGAAACTCTCAAACGGTTTCAAATGTGTAACCTTGGATTGCAATCGATTTCACATCATCAAGTGTTTAGAGTGCCCCAGTAGCAAATATATTAAAACGCTCCGGAGTCATCTTTGATCACTGTTACTAGCTCACTTTACCCAAGATCATTTTGGAGCCTCCTGTAGAATAGTTCAGCTTTTGTCAGTGTACCAAAAGATAGGAAGAAATAGGGGAAGTGGTGAAGTAATACATTTTATGTTAAGTTACATTGAACACCTTGTCTTTATTTGCCATTGTGCCGACAGTAGAGCTTTGCCGTTGAGAAGTGTTGTATTCTCTTAAATGGTAACAAAAATAAGTGAATATTTTCTTGGGGTGATGATGCTAACTCTGCTGTTTTTCTTAACTATTTACAGTTGCATTTTCAATTTCTTACGCTTTATGGAGAAGTAACATTCAATAGTTAAGAAAAACAGTAGGTTTTTTACGTTAGCTAGTGTAAATGCTATATAGTGTATGTGCTATACTATATGTATAATATAATATATATATAATATATATTTTTTTTCTCATACCTGTGGCCAGTATATGAGAAATTTTTGAGAAATTGAGAACTGATCCTTTATATGTCCTTTTAAGAATTATCACTAACTGGCTGAGTTACTAGATAAATGTGTTGAATCTTTTTGTGAAAGAGGGAGAACCTAAACAGGAAGTTTAACAGGAAGACTGGCAGTTTCTGCTTCTGTCTTTTAGTATCTTCAAGAGTTAGTACTGTTTCCTGCTAAGTAAGTTTGCTTGCTACAGAATATTTAAACACTAA